TCTCCCTGCAGTTAAGAGTTATGCAATTTGAGAGTCTTTTAGATAGACCCACTGAAGGGGTACTCCAATTGTCTCACCCTGCATCCCTGTTCAGCATGGAAAAGCCAGAGTGATCTGCCTCCCAATTCCCTATTGGCAATTTGGGTAACCTCTTCAGGGGATGGTGTGATAAGAATGGGATGTAGGAATTAGCTAGGCAGTTAGGGTAAAAAGACCCTGAAGAAATTAGCCAGTTTCTTGGCTAAAAATCAAAATGTCCTTGGGCCTCTCAGCAACACATTCTGTTCCAAAGGCCAAAAATGTCAAAAGTATTTGGGAGCTCTTATCTAATCCCTAAAAGATTTTAAGGTTACCTCTTCAGAGGGGGGAATGTTAGAGTAACAAAAAGCTCCATAAAAAAATAATAAACAAATAAATAGAGTACACAAAATTGATCATGAAAAAGTGATGGGGAGATAAAGGAAGAATTGGAGAGGAGGGAGTGGGCATGGATTTGTTCAAAATACCTTATATGCATGTATGAAATTCTCAATAAATTTTTTAAAAAGTTAAAAAAACAAAACTGAAATATATTTTTAACAAAGTAAGGTCTATAAGATGACGTAGTGGGAAAAGCACAAGCATGCAGACCTGAGTTCAGATCCTCAGCACCTACATAAAATATGGTTGTGGGGCACACAACTATAACCCCAGCTCTAGAGGGTCAGAGAAAGGTAGAAAAACAATATAGCTGAACCAGGGAGCTTCAGGCTGAGTGAGAGACCCTTTCTCAAAAAAAAAAAAAAAAAAAAAAAAAAAACTAAGATGAAGAGTGACAGAGAAAGATATCCAACATTAACCTATGGCCGTCACACATGCACACACATGTGCAAACAGATCTGAACACACACACACATACATGCACGCAGTCACACATGCACACACACACACACACACACACACACACACTCACAAAAAACTAGCCTTGAGAGTTATTAAAAAAATGAAGTTATAGCCAGGCATGGTGGTGCACACCTTTAATCCCAGCACTCAGGAGGCAACCAGGACATCTGGGGCTACAGGGAGACCCTGTCTCAAAAAAAAGACCAAAAAATGAAGTTATAATAAATCATGAATCTTGGAAAACATATTTGTCACACACAGTCTAAGCCAAATGGTCACTAAGAAACATAACCAGAAATAAAACAAGTCAATGTTGCTCTACAAAAGAGATCTTAAAGGTAAAAAAAAACAATGTTAACTAGAACACAAAATATAATAGAAAATTTTAAAGCTGCTTTCTTTTAATAACAAAAGTTTCAATGAGTAGCTGGAGAGATGGCTCAGCAGTTAAGAGCACTGGCTGTTCTTGTGCAGGACCTGAGTTAGGTTCCCAGCATCCACATGGCAGCTCACAACCATCTGTAACACCAGTTCTAGGGGATCCAATGCCCTCTTCTGAGCTCTGTGGGCACTGTACAACATGGGTGTGCTTATATACACACAGACAATATACTCATACACATAAAAATAATAATAAATAAAATATTTTTAAAGGTACAGTGAAACCCCATCCCCAGTGCCCCCCCCCCACAAAATTAGGAGGCATAAATGGAATGGAATAGCAGGTTTAGCAACATTTATATGAATGTTCCTTAAAAAAAATTCTGGAATATGGAAAGCCTTACAAAGAACTCAAAGAAGATGTTGTTGTCCACATACTGGTACTCAAAGAAGACATAGCCTGATTTCTTAAGGTGCACTGCATAGATCAAAGACACTGTGCAGTCATCACGGTTTGATTCTATGTAGTTTCCACGAGGGATCCAAGAAGAGCTGTGAAAACAGAACCAGGACTATTATTTTAGAGCTCAGAAAACTCTTCTAGCCACAACCCAGAATCAGTAGTTCCATTGGCAAAGCACCGGAAAAAAACACCAAGAGCTTTTCTGAAACTCAAAGTCCAGCTCCTTTTTTCAATCACTTTTTATGGCATGACATCCTAAATTTTTATAAGGTTACATGCTACCTTTTACTAAAACAGTGATCAGCAAACAGTATTTTAGTAGCTTCAGATAGAACTGCTCTTTCAAATAACATCTGAGTTTGACTTAAAGACATGCACATACAATTGGGAGATCTATGGGATGGTTAATATTTAAATTAAAATATAAAGGTGCATTTTTCACCTCTTAAGTTGTTAAAGAAATTATATGCCAGAAAAATAAAGGGCTTCTCAATAACTGAGTTAGCTTTTGAGATCCTAAAGCATATTAAGACTGCCTTTAAAACAACTGATGATTTAAAACATAACATTGTTATACTTCAAGATATACAGCAAGTTTCAAAATATTTGACAGATTCACCAAGAAAAGGATGTAAATGTGGCAACACCGCTCTAAATGTAACATTCTGTGAAAAGATGAAACCTTGTCTATACTACAGTGAGAACCCACATGGTAAACTGCCACCTTCACAACCTAGGTTAGCCAAGGTATGCAAACACAAGAAAACACTAAGCATAAAAGAAAAAAATTATGATAGATTACATTGTTTCAAATTTTAAACTTCTAGTTATCAAACATCATTAAGAAAATAAAACATCAAAATCCACAGATTTAAAGGCGCTATCACAAAACACATACATATATGTAATGTGTGCATAATATACAGTATTACATGAATACACACATACAGGATCTCATGTTCATAAAGCACAAAGAACTATTTGGACTCAATAAGTCACCAATAGTCCCAATCAATTAAAAAGAAGTAGAGAATGTAATCTCAGGTCGGTGGGAAAGGAGGGGAACAAAGGAGGAAAGCAATATCCACCTGAAATTTGTGTTCAGAGAATTATTACATTCAAAGACAGTACATTGGAAAAAGTTCTGCTTACAATGAATTTCCTTTAATAAATAAGGTATTTCAGGTAGAAAAAGAATAAATATCAATATTTCAGTTTACCAGTTCACTGAACAAAGACCTGGCATCTCATCACATGCAATTAGTGCCTTACTGTAACATGCTTTTGTGCATCTATGTTGAAATGTATTGCCAATTTAAGAGTATTGAAAATTGGTGGGAACTCCGTAATGTTTAAATTTGATTGTCAACTTGATTGGATTGAGAAAAGCCTAGGAGATTGGTAAAGCACAACTTTGGGTGTGTCTGTGTGGGCTTTACTAGAGACAATTCAATCAAAAGGGCTCTAACCTAAAGAATCCATGGATAGATTCAAAATGTGAACCAATTGTTGGAAGGTGGTGGAGGTGGCCAAGGTGAGGCATGGTTGGAGGTCACTTAGGGCATGTTCTTGAGGGTTGTATCTTGCCCTGGCCCCTTCATGCTACTGAACTATTCTTCTCTGGTTGCTGGCTGCTATAAATTGAACACCTTTTCTCTATCACATTCTCCCCACCATGAGAGACTGAAAGCTATCCTATGAAACCACAGACAGAATAAATCTTTCCTCTCTTCAGCTACTTCTAAGGATTTTGTCACAGTGACAAGAAAAATAAATAATATAGCCTTTAAGCAGTAAAGAGCCAAGGGAGCTAAGACCTGGGGAAGAAAATAATGTTTTCCTCACTCAGTGTTTCTCTTTCACAAAGGCCCATCTGTACCCCCATTCTCTGCCATGGTTTGAAGTTATATGAAGCTCTCAACACAGGCCAACACCATGTACATGGGCCTGCAGAACTGAACTAAACAAATCACTTAAAAATTCTTCAATCCAGGGCTGGAGAGATAACTCAGCAATTAAGAGCACTGGCTGCCCTTGCAGAGGATCCGGATTCAATTCCCAGCACCCACATGGTAGCTAACAATGGTCTATAACTTCAGTTCCAGGGGATCTGACGCCCTCTCCTGATCTCCTTGGGCATTGTATAACACAGGTGCACTTATACACATGCACATGATATTCTCATACACATAAAATTTTAAAATTCTTCAATCTCTGGTGCTCTAAAAATAGAAATTCACAGACTAAGACACACACACACATACACTTAAACAACAATCTTGTTTTCTAAAGAGGAAAATAAATCATTATCACTCAGCAGAAAGAGAGAGAGCTGGAAAAGCATGAAGGAATGAAAGAGGGAAGAAGAAGAAAGGGAGGAAAGGAAGCCAGGAAACACATCTGTGAGCACAGATACATAATTTCTCAGCATTCCTTCCACCATGATAAGGATTTTTGGGGTTCCAGAGAAAGCGCTCTTGCCAGAAGGTAGCCAGAGGCTGCCTATTTTACTACCAAAGTTTTAATTCTCCTAAACATGGCCACATTGAAGGAAATACCTATACAGGCACCATGGGGGACAGGAGGAGTACAGCTCAAAGATGAACATTTATCCAATGTTGCCACAGGCAAAGCTAGTAATCCCCAGAGAACTAATGCAAAGGACTTTTCTACACCTTAGATATTCAACCCACTCTCTCATAGAAGATAATCAAGGTCTAAATGAAAATCAAGCACTTTTTTTCTTTCAAAGAAAAAGAAAAAATATGAAAATGCTCTTTAAAATTAGAGAAAGGTTAGAAGAAACACCACTGGCTAAAGTTTGATTATAAATATGAAATAATGAACGGTTTCTTTAAAATCTCTATTGCATTCAACATATAGTATCCATTATATTTCAAGACCAATTATTTCCTCATTAAAAATTTAGCTACACTCTTTATAATGGCTGTCTGAAAAATATAACCCTTTGCACTGAGCTTATCTACAATCTCCATCCATACTAAAACTATGCTCAGCTCCTTCTAGAAAAGAATGACTACACCTTTGTCAAGTGTTCAAAGTCCAAAGGTTCCTTTTCGGGTCTTACTTGTTACAGCCATCTGGCCTGCTGTCAGAAGGGCCCACCACAGTGTCCATGAACGTTGCAATGTTGGAAAATCCTGCCGGCAACTCATCCCATTCATCAAATTTGATGCCACTGCCCAAGGAGTAGGTGCCTTCAACACACTTACTGCATACCTGGTTCTTCATTTCTAGATACTCTCCAGAGGCACAGGAGAAAGCTGGAAGGCAGAAGACATGACCCATTAGTCAGTGGCCCCTTCCATTAAATGTCTCCCTTCATTTGTCACCAGAATTGTTTTTACATAATTCCAGTTGTATCACACCCTAAGCAAAGCCTTCCAGAATCTCCATTATCACCACATGCATTTCACAATCTGCCTCAAAACTGTTTTACTCTACTCATCCTTCACTTCTCCTGCTGATTAAGACAAAGTACATACCGCTCTCAAAATACTTCAACACCTCTTTTGCTATTGTGGTTCTTTGCCAGGGATGTTTGCCAAATGACCTTCTCCACCTGGAAAACTCCAGTTCCTATGTAAAAATGACATTTCTGATGACAGATGACCCCATCCATTCCTACCTAGCAGTCATCCCTACCTCCCTCCATGCCCCAACAGTCCATTTTCCACAACACCGCCATTAACTTACACATGGCCTGATGATTGAAGAAGGGATGTGTTACTTTATGCTCTAAAGAAACACGGGTCATTATTTGGGGATTCCTAGTTGTATAAAGCATATGCTAAGTCCAAATAAAATGCTGATCCAGTGAAGAACAAAATAAAAAGAGGGTACAGGAGAGAAGTGTAATAGTTAAATTATCCTTACTCTGAAACCTTGATCCCGCTTTTACAATATTTATAATGCCTACCTAGCCATTTCTACTACCACCATCTATTTCTAATATCAAGTTCTCTGCCTTCTCTGAGAACTGGACCAAGCCAGTAAATGGCTGCTAAGTTATAATTCATTCAATAAATGGAAATCAATGCTCCCAAAGCGCATGTCCCTGTACAGGGTGGTATTACTGCTCAAGCCTAGAAAGGGTTACCTAATCCCTTAATCTAGACATTAAAGAAACAAGAACAAAATAAAATGTCCAAATTATTTGATGAAAAGAAATCCCCCAGTCCAGTAAGGCAGCAAAGCCTTGCAGTGAGGCACATTCTTCTTCTATATACAGTAGGGGATTTAGAAATAAAAACAAGCTGACTCTGAAAAAACTAATTAAAGAATTAGAGCTAAAACCCAAACTCATTCACTGAACTAATGATGCTTTTCTTTAGAAAAACTTAGCAACTCTGTGCAATGAACTTTTAACATTCAAATCAATATCCCCCAAATCAGTAAAACACCAGAATATCAGAAAAAGTCATACATATAATACTGTATGCTACAAAGTCAAAAGTATTCTGCAGATGGGAGAGGAAGACTATCTTGGTTGTTATATTACTTCTTGGGTTTTGGGGGGTTGTTTTGTTTTGTTTTTATCCATCAAATGAGTCAATTTTCTCTCCAGGATTTAGTTCCTATCTCTAAAAAAGGAAGTAGCTATCACTGTAGCAGCCTCATAGGGTTATGCTAAGAAAACAAAATACAGCATGGAGTAGTTAACAGAATGCCTGTCATATAACAAATGCCCACCATAGCCTATTATTATCACAACCAGGACAACCAGCAGAGAAACACAATTATGGAAAGCAATTTTTTTCAGTTTCAATGATTTATGGGTCTTCTATAGAAATCAGAACTAACAATATTCCCTTAATATGATAAATAACCATAAACAAAAAGCAATATTTCGCTCAATTATGGATCAGCAAACTAGCCTGTAGGCCAAATCTGGTCCACTACTTGTCTCTATAAACAAAGTTTTATTGAAACAGTCATAGACATTCATTTACATATTTTCTAATAGCTCCTTTTATATCACAATAGAGGAACGGAGCAGCTGCAAAAGAGACTGCATTACCTGCAAATCTGAAAATATTAACTTTCTGATAAAATAATCTTGGAAGGTAGTTCAGTTTGGGGTCTAAAACTGACCTTTTAATTCAATTAACAATTAATGGAACATTTTATGATATATTATTATAAGGGACTGTAAACGCTAAAGGAATGTGTGTTTATGAATGTTCTAAACCCAGTGATGCTACTTCAGAGTGTTTGCTGCCCTGTCAAAATCAGGAAGAATGTACTCAGCCCTTTCACACACAGTTTTATGAGAAGGAAATCTTAAACTTGAAATTGAAAATGAATTTCCTAAGTCTTTTCCTAAGTCTTTCTTATATGGCAGGTTCTGTGCTTGACACTTCAAGCATGGTAAGTTCTTACTAACCACAGTGGAACTACAAGGTTGGCATGAGCACTGTGTTTGCAAATATTGAACCATTGCCCCTATTGGAAATTCCAGGTTAAGTTTCTAATAGTCTCTGGGCACAATATCTTCAACCCATCAACACCTCACCTTGTCTATTTTTGTTTAAAGAATCTTATTTATCATACACTGTCCTTTTATTTACAGTGAATGCAAATGCAAAGGCACTATCAGTCTAAAGAAAGCTTACGTACTGCATGTATTTCACTAAAAGGCACCCTCAGCCTTCTTCAATGTGGGTCATTACCTGGCACTTCAGCATTATACTTGGAGAATCATTGTAAGTAGCAGACTCACAAGAAAATTAATAACAAAAATTCTATGAACATGGCACAACATCTACCACAATAAGGATATTTGTTTACAGAGTAAGAGCTAAGAAGCTAGAGTCTCCAAGCAGGTGTTTGGATGACTCAAATATTTTGTTCTTCTGCCCACATCTACAAATTACCATGAAAGCATAAACTATCAATTTGGGGATTACAAAAAAAATGACACAAATATAAAAACCACAAATCATGAGGATGAACTGTACTTGTAACAGATCTGTGAAGGATGAAGTTATTATGTCCATAAACCAGCTGAGGAACCTGAATCACAGTGTATTTAAATAACCTGATTACAAAAGTACCAAATCAACTGGTAGCAAGCTAATATTCATGGTCTAGCTGGTCTGACTCTAAAATAGCTACCCTGTAATGAAAAATGAAAATTCAAGTCAAATAATCAACCAATGAACAGAGGATAAATAATTCCAACTAATCCATTAGTCTTTCATATCACCTTTCATTTCCTATCAACTGCTCAGGAGAGCTCATCTGTACCATAAAATAATAATCATCGTTCAATCTCATATTTGTTATAGAACTTTTAATGTGTCATGTCAAAAAAATCATTTAAGAAATATTTTAACAATTTCCTAACTCCTGCTAAGTCTAATAACCTTGCTTATAAAAGAAAGATAGTAATAATAACTATCTCAAAAATTTACCTGGCACAAAATACGTATGTTACAAATAATCGTATTAGATACTCATTATATTAGGAACATGGACACACATTCCAGTAACATTGCCACTAGATGGGTAATGTCATGCCTCTATAGCTGTACAGTTGTACAGAACAACTATGGTATCAAAGTTAAACAGTCATGGGGCCTTTAAAAATGCAGGGAAGCTAAAACAACTAAAGCTTTTCATTTTTCTTTTTTAAATATTTAATTTATTTTCTTTATTTTATGTGTATGAGTGTACTGTCTGCATGTATATAAGTGCACCCATGTTGTGCAGTGCCCACGGAAGTCAGAAGAGGGCACCGGATTCCCTTGGAACTGGAGTTATGGATGGCTGTTAGCTGCCACATGGGTGCTAGGAACCAACCTAGGTCTTCTGCAGGAGCAGACAGTGTTCGTAACTGCTAAGCCATCTCTCCAGCCCCCCCCCCCGCGCTTTTCATTTTTCAATCATTTGATTCTATTCAATCTTTTTTTCATACTGGAAACTAATTCTAGAGCCACATGTCAAAAGAAGAGCTACACATATCCAAATTCAGTTGATTTCACAAGATTGTGTGGAGAGTTAGTGCTGTCCACCTCTTGCTAGTGGCCACAAGCATGACCTGCTTTTCCTTTGCTGGTATCTTCCACCTATGCCTCTCTACTTTCTATTTCAACACTGCTATCTTGACATTCAGGTTTTAATTGGATTATATGGTTTTTATAGAATTGCAGGAACTATATTCTTTTTTTATTATTTTAGAATATGCTACTGGACACTTCGATGAAGCAAGAAGGAGAGAGGCAGTTATTGTAAATAGCTATTTGCAGCTGGGTAGATTGACTATATGTCATCTGAATCAATTAAGTTAATTCTAAAATAAAAACTAGCTTTCTTCTTGGACAATCTTAAAATGCCACAAGAACTGAATGAAACTGATAATAAGCAAGCTCTGAAATTTGGACAGAGTTATGTTAGCTTTTCATTCCTGGGACAAAATACCTAAGCAAAACACATTAAAGGAGCATGGACTGATTTTGGCTCACTTCCAGATGTTCCAGTCCATCATGGTGGATAGAGCATGGAGCAGACTAGCTCCCCTCATGATGGTCACAGAACAGAGAGAATGCCTGCACTCACTGGCTTTTGCCTTTCCTGCCCATATTCCGTCTGGGCCCCCAGCCTAGGGGATGGTGCTGCCCACATTAAGGATAGGTCTTACCTCTAGTTAAGTCTCTCTGGAAATACCCTCACAGACATACTCAGAATTGTTCTTGTCTGATCTTCCAGGCACTTCTCAATACAATCAAGAGGAGGAGAATAGAAACCATCACAAAAATAGAGGCCTTCTTGGCCTAAGAGTTAGCAATGGGCTCAGTATGGGGTTTCACAGTGTTTTACCACAGCATCTATTGGAAAAGAGACATTTAAAACTTCAATATCTTGAAGTCTACATTTAACCAGGAGGTCATGTGCTACACTCACTGTTCTTTTTCTTAGCTTCCTGTCTCTGCTTTCCTGATATCTGTTTCTGTTTCTGTGAATCTGTAAAGGGTCAAACATGCAGATGTGAAAAATCAGATATGGGAAAAAATAACGTGTATACTAGCTTCGTATCAAGAAGCAGTCTTCAGCCACTCACTTGACCCTCTGTGTTTCTATTCACTCACATTCAATTGGGAATATCCCCATGCTTTTTAACTGTGTGGGTCTGCTTGTGATGACCCAGAGAGAGACTATGGAAAAAGTCTGTGTAGACAATATAATAATCACACAAACACCAGTACAATGTGTCAAGTAACAGTTACTAAATTGAATCATTTATGTGCTGATTATCCTCTGT